CTTGTGGGGACACGTTCTATGTTTTGCAATACCCCTTACATTACAACAATCCCTGCAAAACAAAAAAGGAGATAAAATAATAAAAGAAGAAAATCTTAGGTCTCATATAAGATGTAATGCATCAGAGCTGGTATAGCAAGCTATATGAACCAATCTTAGACTAAAAAACTTAACACACAGTGTAGTTGGTGTAGCAAGCTATATGAACCAAAACATGTTAGCGATTTTAATAATCACAATACACCCCCACAATTCTTGTTATCGTTGTGTTACACTTATTAGGCCATGCGCGTGCCCAGTATTAATGAGTGCTCTAGAACTCTTACAAATATCTCATACAAGCGGCCACACTCGACACTCATATAGGTGACTTCATCAAGCGTATGCTGCAAATCATATACCACCCAGAAGGGATATGAAGTCATTAAAAACTTTGTTTAGACTAAAATTCGTACACCACATAGAATTTTAATTACAAAGTTTAACCTCTCAATGATGCAGTGTCTACCACTTTCACATATACACCATAGGAATGGACATAATTGATTTAATCAATTTTAGTGCTAGCAGAACTAACAAGTGACTTGTTTTTACCCATATGAACCTTATTCATGGGATTTTCAATCACAAATGTTGGGTTACCATCACCTGTTTGTTTGCTAGTTGCTCAAGTCTCATTCTCCTCGATGTTTCTAAAATCATATTTCTCGCTAAGGATTTTGTCAGAGGATCTGTTACATTCCGTTCTGACTTCACATAATCAATGGAAATTGTTTCATTCTTTAGCAGCTACTTCACTAAATTATGTCTCAATTGTATATGCCTATTTTTTCCATTATAGTTCTTATTTTTAGCTATAGCTATTGCCGATTGATAATCACAATGTATTGATACAGACAGGGTCAGTTTCATTCCTAATGGAATATTTACTAAGAAGTTTTTCAACCACTCAGCTTCACTACCAGCCATATCGAGAGCAACAAATTCAGATTCCATTGTTGATCTTGCAATAATTGTCTGCCTAGCTGATTTCCATGTAATCGCACCACCCCCGAGTGTGAATACATAACCACTAGTGGATTTTGTATCATTTGAATCAGAGATCCAGTTAGCATCACTGTACCCTTCTAGTACAGCGGGAAATCCACTATATTCAATGGCATAATCCATTGAACCTCTTAAGTATCTCATAAGTCTTGTAAGTGCATTCCAATGTTCTTGATTAGGACATTGAGTACTCAATCTACCTACTGCATAAGTAATGTTAGGTAGGTCTAGAAAAGTTTATTAAATGCAGGAAGCTCCTAATTACCTGGGCATACTGAGGTTGAGAGATTGAGTTTCCTCTATTTTTCTTTAACTTAGAGTTAACATCACAAGGGATATTCACTGGTTTGACGTTATAACACCCAAACTTTCTAAGAAGTTTCTCAATATATTGTTCTTGGGGTAGAAAAATACTATCACCCTTCTTTATGATTTTAACTCCCAAAATCACATTGACTTCACTCATATCTTTCATTTCAAATTTAGATCCCAGAAACAACTTTAAAATGTTTGCACACTTTGTTCTCTTGACCTGGAACAACACACCCTTCAGGTTGAGTCATATAAATTTCCTCTTTTAATTCACCATTCAAAAAGACTGTCTTAACATTCATTTGGTGTATAACTAGCTTATGAATAGCTGCTAGAGCTATCAAAACTCGAACAGAGGAAATCCTAGTCATAAGGGCAAAGCTGTCAAAATAATCAATGTTGGATTTTTGAGTAAAATCCTTTGCTACTAATCTTGCCTTATATTTATCTATAGATCCATCAGAATGATACTTTTTCTTAAAGATCCACTTACAACCAATAGGTTTTGTTCCTTTAGGCAAATCTACCAAGGTCCAAGTATTATTTTTCTTAATTGAATCAGTTTCAGTCTTAATGGTCTTATCCCAATGTATTACATCAGGAGCCCTAGTAGCTTCCAAAAAAAGGATCATTTTCAACTAGATAAGTGTAGAAATCATCTCCAAAGAAGGTTTCTTCCTCTGTCTTTTACTTCTCAAATCTTCATATATTTTATCATTGTTTAGGTGTTTCACTAAACTTTTGAGGAAAAAATATGTTTAAAGAACTCAACATTTTTTGTCTCCACTATAGTATTATACTCAATTACATCACTTTTGAGGACAAGAAACCTATAGGCAGCATTATGTTCTGCATAGCCTAAGAACATACAATCAGAAGTTATTTTTCTTTTCTTATGATTAGGTAACATTACCTTAATTAGGCACCCCACACTCTTAGATATTTAAGATTAAGTTTATAACCTGTCCATAACTCATAGGGAGTTTTACCAATTTTCTTAAAAAAAAAAAACATTGTAAGTATATCTTCTCTTAAGGGTGATTAGGTGCATTAAAGTTGTTTGATTAAGTATACTTTGGTTTATCTAGAGTAATCATCTATAAATGTCACATATAATATGAATCAATAATATAAGCAAAAGAATAAGATTCATCAACCAAGGGCTTTGGTCACAATATATCTTCCCTACAAATACATTATTTTTTGTCATAACAATCTTATCAGATTCGAATGACACTTTAACCCCAACTTTCCAAACTTTTTCCAACACTACTACCGAGATTAGATTAGCTCTGATTAATGACACATGTAGCACATCATTCAAGGTCAGAGTCTTTTCAGATATGAGCTTTAGAAGAACTTTTCCTTTTCCTAAGATAGGAGTTGTCCTGGAATCACCGAGATAAACATGTTATTCTCCATTCCCAACACTAGTATAGGAGGTAAAAACATTTCTGTTTGCACAGATGTACCTAGTAGCACCAGAGTCTACCACCCATTTGCTCACATTTGTCACAAAGTTTATTTAGGAAACGACCACAATAATTATATCTTCTCCTTTGGCTAAATTTGCTTTAGGAGGATTGTCGTTTCTTATTCTATATTTACACTGAGATGCATGATGACCTGACTTCTACAGAAAAGTAATTTTCCTTCTTCTTGAAGATAAAGTGGGGTTAGATTCATTACTTTAATATAATCTCATAACCTTAAACTCTTTCTTATACGTATGTACAAGATATTAGGTGGACAAAATAATATTCTACACGCATGTACAAAATAATATGCAGACAAAATAATATCCTACACGTATGTACAAAATAATATGTAGATCTAAATTGTTCACTACCAAAACAAATCTCTCACAACATATAATACTCATGCATAATTCATATACTCAGGAAGCATAATTCATTTTTCCTGTTTCATTGGTGTAATAAAGCCGAAAAAGAAACATGTGTTTGACACGTGTGCTCTATGGACAAGCTACATGTGTATGCTGATAGCATTTGATTTAAAAGTTTACCTTTTTTCATCATAATTATAACATGCAGTAATCAATTTCATATATGATTCACCTTTAACCCAATCACGTAATTTGCTCTTTTAATTAAAATCAATTACAGGCTCATTCACATTTCAACAAGAATTATAGTGTCATTCACACAGGGGCTATTAAATTAATTTCAATTTGAAATTGATTGCAGCTTAAAACATAGATGAAGATTTATTCCTTTATTCAATTTTGGGAAAAGCATAATTTAAAAATTATCATAAGAGAAATTCATAAATCTAATAAGTATGGCTCTGATACGACATGTATTTTAATTTGTAGTTTTTATAAGTTACTAATTCTATAAAACTACTCTTCACGTTTATATTCTTTATTCTCTCGTAATAGCATAAATCATAATCATATAATAACATACATGAATTGATTCTCACATAATATCATATATAAATCATAATCAGAAGACTAACCTTGATTCATGAGCACTTCATAATTATTTTTTTTTCACTATCCAATATGGTAAAACTGTTGAATGAATTTGTTGATATTCGTACTTTCAACCATAAGTCCTTAAAATTATTGTAAAAGCTGACAGAGACACGAACAAACTTTATTCTTGAGACGTGTATAAACACTGCCTTTAAGGACTTATCCGCAGTGTATTGCGCAAGTCCCCCAAGATACAACAAGAACTTCTCGGAATATTCGAGGATTTCAGAAACTAGCAAGAAACTCTCAAAAAAGTAAATTAACCCCACGATAACATAAATAAGATTAGGGAAAAAAAGATGAGAGAGGTGTATTTTTGAAAAGTGTGAAGTGATATCTATTTATAAGAAAAAGTCTATAGCAATTATGGGAAGACTTGGTAGTAGGTATATAACGTTGTAACGTTCTCTGAAACAGTCTTCTGTAAGAACACGTTCTCTGAAATAATCTTTTTTTACAACACGTGATATGAAACGGTCTCTATAACATGTGAGAACACGTTCTCTGTTTATAACTTGTGGGACACTTTTTAAGTTTTGCAATATCCCTTAAATTATAACACAAAAATCATCTTCAAAAGATTTTACTACACTAGAATCACCAACCTAATCCTTTGTGCTCTGTGACTGTGAGCTGTTTCTAGGTCAGGCTCTCTAGGAATAGTGATCTTCAGCTTAGAATGTCCAGAATTTAGAATCTCCTAAATATAGAAGCAGAAGCTAACGAATAATAAATTAAAAAAATAAAAAAGAATCCATGGAACAAAGAAATTAATTTCAGCGTACACGGCCAGGTTCATTATTCAAACAAAACTTCGAGATCATCTCGTTCTACTTTATGTATGTCGTCTTACCTAGGGGCCTTGGTGGTCTCATTTAATCAGTGCGCGCACGTTACAAAAGGAGCATCGATAAAGGAGAGAAAGTCTTCCCCCCTGAAGCTAAACAAAAAAGAGGCTCATTTCAAACAAAAAAGAAAAAATGACTGAGTGGGCATATAGACCGATCCATCCTATTTTTCATCTACGGGTCGGCTCTCCTTACTCAGCACATCTATCATCATGCCATCTATAAGATCGGTTACATGTAGTTACCTGTAGAATCGCTCTCCCGATTCTCGGCTACGCCGGAGCGTGAACGGCATGGCGGAGAAAGCGGCGGCGCCACCGCCGTCGAAGCCTTTGACAACTCAGGAGTGGGAAACTCTAATTGAAGACTTCCAGAATGGCGTCCACCACAAGTGGAACTCTCTGGATCCTCTCTTCGATCTTCTCCTCTCCTCTCTTCTCCGCAAGGACTTCCCTCTCTTCCTCAAGCTTCAACTCCTCGTCTTCCTCGACGAATTCTCCCTCTCCTTCTTCACCTCCCACCACCATCTCCTTCGTCTCGTAGACGCCCTAAAAGCCGTCGTCCACGCGCCGCTCGATGTTGTCGCGTCCACCTACAAAGACCAGTTCATGGTCTCCGCCTCCTCGATTCTCATTTGCGCATCGGAAAAAAAGGTCATCGACCCTCAAACGGAGAATAACCTTGTCGAGTTACTGCTGACGGTTATAAACCGGCCAAATTTCGGTTCGGACAGGCACACGCGCGGTGTCGCGTGCGAATGCCTGAGGGAATTGGAGCGGTGGAAACCGGGATTGTTATCGGATGTGGTTGGACACTTGTGGAGTCTGTGCCAGAATGAGCGAACTCACGCTTCACAGTGTTACCTCTTGCTCTTTACTTCGGTGATTCACAACATCATCGTTCGGAAACTAAGTGTTTCGATTCTCAACACATCGGTTCCGATGGTCCCTTTCAACGCGCCGAACTGCGTGATGGATTCGGGTTCAGGTTCAGGTTCGGATTTGAATGTGAAGGAGTTGAGGAGGGCATTGGCGTTTTTGCTGGAGTGGCCGCAACTGATGACTCCTTGCGGGATGATGGAGTTTGTGTATATGATAATTCCCGTGGCTATGGCTTTGGAATTGCAACCTTCCATGTTGAAGGTACAGTTGTTTGGGATGATTCATTCGTTTGACCCTGTTCTGTGTCATGTTGTTTTGGTCATGTATTTGCGTTTCTTGGAAGCGTTTGATGGTCAAGAGGGACAGGTTTCTCGCAGGCTCTTGTTGATCTCAAGAGAATCTCATAATTATTTGGTGTTTCGCCTGTTGGCTATCCACTGGTTGTTGGGTTTCAATGAGTTGATTTTTGAGAAGACGAAGCCCACCATCGAATTGTGCTCCGCATTTTACCCCGCTTTGTTTGATCCTCTGGCTTTGAAAGCCTTGAAGCTTGACCTTCTTGCCTTTTCCTCGGTTTGTGCTCATGTTTTGAGGCTGAAAAGTGGTTCCGATGAGTTGATTGATCCAGTGAAGCTGTTTGAAAATGGTCTTGTTTGTGTCTCTTCTTTCAAATGGTTGCCTCCCATGTGCACAGAGACTGCAGTTGCATTTCGCACCTTCCATAAGTTTCTGATTGGTTCTTCTTCTCATTCTGACAATGATCCTTCCACCACAAGAAATCTGTTGGACTCAGCCATTTTTCGCACTTTGCAGGTGAATTTTAGTTATAGGAACCCAGTATAGCAGTAATTGAAAAGTTCAGTGGTTAATTTTTCTTTCATCACTGCTAGGCATGATTAATTCAAGTGTCTTTGTTTTGTTTTCCAGGATTTGCTTGTGAACATGATGTTGGAAAGTAGAAGACTGGTTCCTGTTGTTGTAGCTTTTGTTGACCGGCTACTCTCCTGCCAAAAGCATTCTTGGTTGGGTGAGTGCTTACTTCAGAAATTTGATGCGCACTTGCTTCCCAAAGTGAAAATGGATTATAATTTGGTTTATTGCTTCCCAATATTTGATAGAATTGCTGAAAATCAGACAATACCTCCTCGTGGGTTGTTAGAGTTGCTCACGAACTTCATGATTTTCCTTGTGGAGAAACATGGCCCAGATACAGGGATGAAATCTTGGTCCCAAGGAAGTAGAGCTCTTGGAATTTGCCGAACTATGTTGATGCACCATCATAGCTCTAGATTATTCCTTAGATTATCTCGTCTGCTTTCATTTACATGTCTATATTTTCCTGATCTGGAGATTCGTGATAATTCAAGGTATTGCATTTTGACATAATATATTTTTTAGTTTTCTCCTTCACCCTCTGGTTTATAAATTATTTCTTGGAAGCTTTAGACGGCCTGCAAAATAATTTCTATATGGTATTTTGCAGGATCTACTTGCGTATGCTTGTCTGCATTCCAGGGAAGAAGCTTAGAGACATCCTAAGTCTCGGTAACATGATCCTTGGAATTTCTCCATCTTCACATTCAACCTCGTTTTTCAGCGTTCAGTCACCTAGACCTTCTAAAAATTTTAAGTCGTTTAAAAACTTATCATCCTGCATTCACCTTGAGCGTTTGGGCCCATTGCTTGTCAAACAATTTTGGTCTCTGTCGTTGTCAAATTTAGTTGTAAGTAACACCAAACCAGCTTATCTTGAGAGCATCAGAGATCTCAAAGCCACTGTGGAGGAAAAGGACTTTTCTGACAGTTCCAATACGGAGATCATTCCTGGAAGGATAAATCAACCACAAGAGCCACTTCGTGTTATGGATTCTAAAGTTGCAGAAATTTTAAACACATTAAGGAAGTACTTTTCCTGCATTCCTGACTTCAGATATATGCCAGGTCTGAAAGTCAGAATATCATGCAGTTTGAGGTTTGAATCTAATACTTTCAATCGTATGTTGGGATTAGATAAAACTGTCACATCCTTGGAAGAGATAGATGCACTTCCTGCTATATATGCTACCGTGTTAAAATTCTCGTCATCTGCACCATATGGATCGATTCCATCCTATTGTATACCTTTTCTTCTTGGTGAACCTTACAATAAAGATCCTGCATCTCAAAATGTCTCCCTGAGTATTGTTCCTGTTGGGGTCGGAAATGATTCCAGAGAAGAGGAAAAATATAGAGCTGCTGTTGTAATTGATTTGGAACCCAGGGAACCCACACCAGGTATAGTTGATGTTCACATTGAAACAAATGCAGTAAATGGTCAAATCATCCAAGGTCAACTTCAAGGAGTCACAGTAGGCATAGAAGACATGTTTCTCAAGGCTATTGTCCCATCAGACATTTCAGAAGATGAAACACCTCGATACAACTTTGACCTGTTCAATACTTTATGGGAGGCATGTGGCTCATCTTCCAGCACTGGCCGGGAGACCTTTCAGTTGAAAGGGGGTAAAGGTATTGCTGCCATCAGTGGAACTCAATCTGTCAAGCTTCTTGATGTCCCGGCAACCTCTTTGATCCAGGCAACTGAACGCCATTTGGCACGCTTTGTTGTAGGTGTCAGTGGGGAGCCACTTATTGATGCCGTATGGCAAGGGGGAATCATTCAAAACATCATTTTGGAAGATGCTTCTCCCGTTGCTACTTCTGTTACTAATCATGATACAGGTCCACTCCGTCTTACTTACAATGATGAAGAGTGTGAGAATGGGGCTATTAGCAATAGTAGAAAAAGAAACCTGGGTTGTTTTCTTGTTCTAATATTTCTTCCACCACGGTTCCATCTCCTTTTCCAAATGGAAGTTGGAGATGTTTCGACTTTAGTTCGTATACGTACAGATCATTGGCCTAGCTTAGCCTACATTGATGATTATTTAGAAGCCTTGTATCTGTCATAAGAGCTCATGACCCACATCGATGACTGCAGAGAGATGAATAATCCTCAATCGGTTTGTCAATGTATATTCTTTTATCTTTTGCTTTTAGAAACACAGTTTGTTCATGTTATAAGTGCAATGTGGCTGTGCTGTTCTGTTCAATAAGAAATTATTTTTGCTTCTATTCATTTTAGGAGACCATATTGGGTAATAATTGTTCTCAGTAGACCATATATAAGTGTATTATCAAGATTTGTTTTTCTTGTGATTTTAAGCACAAATAACATAACCATTATGTCTATTATAGTAGAAGTAGAAAACAAAGTGTGGGAGAATAGCCCAATATTGAGGCCTCTTTCTTTCCTCATTCTCGAACATCCTCGTTGGTCTGCGCATGCATGGAAATATTCCATCCTTGTGTCTCTCTTCTATGTTCAGTTTATAGTGTGGTATTTGTTTTGACACATGACATGAGAAATATAGGCTTACTCTGCTGCACTCTAAGTTTTTCCCTTATATCCAAAATTTCTGTAATGGTATCAGAGCTCTCACTGGAGCTATGCTGATACAGTCTAATTAAACCATGGCACAGAGTCTTGATGTTGCCACCTGTTGGTGGGAAAAATTGAAAATCGAAAGAAGAAAATTCGATGATAGTATGTTGGGGAAAATCGAAAATCTGAATCGAAAATCGAAAGAAGAAATTTGATGACAGTATGTTTGGGAAAATCGAGAATCTAAATCGAAAATGGATAAGAGAAATTCGATGACCTTGTATTTGGGAAAATCAAGAATCTGAATCGAAAGAAGATAGAGGAAATTTGATGAACATGATTGGGAAGTAAAAAATTGATAATAGGTATTAAGTACGAGGCTAAGAGGGAAGTTAGAAGCAGTTTTAAATACTCGATGGTTGAGGTCGAGATCGAAGGAACGGTTAAAATGCACATGGAACATGGGAAGCGATTTTCCAAATCGTGGCTAAGTTGGAAATCGAGGAACGGTTAACGCGTACATGAAACATGGGAAATTGTTTTTTAACCGTGGCTAAGTTGGAAATCGAGGAACAGTTAACGCGCACATGGAACCTGGGAAGCGGTTTTTAAACCGTGGCTAAGATGGAAATCGAAGGATAGTTAGCGTGCACATGGAACGTGGTAGCGGTTTCTAAACCGCTCTTAGGAGGTTACGTTGAAACATGCCTATAAATAGAATGAAGCATGAAGAAGAAATAGAAATTGGCAGAGAAAACAAAAATAAATTGAACAAGTCTACTGGAGAACGACGAATCACGAAGTTTCTGGCGATCTGGATTTTCATTTTCATTGAGTTTTGTTACCGCTTTCTGTACTTTTCCTGGTACTTTATCTTTAATGCAATTTAATTTTACGTGTCTTTATTTTCATGTTATTTCAATTTCATTGCACTTTACACTTATGCAGTTTTAAGATTCCGCATTACATCTTTGTCTCAATAAGTTTTTAATGTTTTTTAAGTTTTTAATGTTTTCTTTACTTTCTCAGTAATTTATTTACTCGCATGTTTAATTTACCTTCCGAGTGATGTTGATTACTTTTATGCGCACTTTAATTTATGTCATTTACTTTTAGTGCAATTTAATTTTATGTATTACTTTGTTATCTTGATTTTTTTTATTGCTTTCTTTAATTCTGTTAATCTTTATATTCTCGAGTTTCTTAAATAAAAAATAAAAAAACAAGGGAGAGCTTTTCGATTTCGGTATGTATGTTATGTTGCGTTTATAATATGCATGTTTTATTTTCCATTTGGCTCGATCTTGTGACATTTTTTATTTATATATATTTTTTTATTGAAAAACTGTTTGCTAATTTAAATAAAAAGAATTTACATTAAAATTTGGTTACAACTTATTAGGAAATCGAAACAAACCAAATTTTCATTAAAAAACACCACCATGGATCAATACCCTTCGAGTCCGTAATATATTATGTTACAAAGAAAAACTTCCAAACCGATACAATATCACGCAAACAAGTGCTCTGCTTCTGAATTCTGAATTCCCCTGATTCCGGAATCCCAAGTCACAAAATCGTAAAAGATTTTCACTCACAGGTGTTCTGCTTCTGCATATTTTAACCCAATTTCTTTTTCAAAAATAAATAAATAAAGGAATAGTAATTAATTAACATGTTCACAACTTTATATAATATTATATTATTATTTTAAGGTTAAAGATTGATAACTTTTATATAATTATATAATAATCTAATAATATTTATTGTTATTATTTTGAGTTATCAACTTATTATATATTATACCGATTATATATTATATAAACCAAACATTTTCCTGAATAAAACTAAAGCAGTGGCGTGGCTTCACTTCATTGTCCTACCAAACAATCATCTCCATCACTCCCAATTTGAATTTTTAGTCTATGCACAACTGATTCAGATTGGTTCAAATGTTCAGATTTGATAATTCAGAGCTATGAAATTTGGCTGGCTGATCAGTGCTTTTTATCAGTTCTACAAGTATAATATTTCATTTATATCTATTTATTGATCAACTATTATATTGACACTAATTAGATGGAAGAATATGGGCATGAAAGATACAAGTGATGCATGACACTAATTCAGCTAACTTCCGTCCTAACAGCAATTTTCCAAGATTCTATGTACTGAAAAATAAAGTCCGAGAAAAGTTGTTGGGCGCGGGCGCCTGTTAGATTCAGCTACGTTGTAATACACTTGCCTGTTAACGATTTTATTAATGGATTGTGACCTAGGGGAAGTTGTACAAGATACAAGGGATACAGAATTTAGTATGCTAGCATCTGTCCTAACAGTAATTTTCTATGTTGTCATCGATATTCAACTCAGTAGAGAAAATATTTTCTCAGCTATCTTGCTGCACATTGGCCGGTGTTTATTGCCGTCATCGAATTCCCAAGCCCCTGCACCATTTAAGTTGAAAGTGGACAATATAGCTAATCAAATTACCGAACATAAACAGTAGCAGCAGCAGCAATAATGCATACCTCCGTGCAGTTAATAGAGTACCAGCTTCACGGTCAACCTTCTCTCCCACTTTGATTTTGCTTTCCTCCAAATATGAAAGGCGTTTCCTACACCAATTGTGTTAGCTAAAAGATTAATATTTAACATGAAAGGCGTTCGAAGTTGAAGAGGTGAGAGAAAAAAATGGATATGAATGAAAATCATAGGCTAAATGTATTCTTCATGCAGCACTCTTACCTTTGCATCCAGATGAAAAGAACTACCTATATTTTCTTTTGAATCCTTGCATCCAGAAACAAACAACTCAGTATGATACCAAGACAAATAAAAAATAATATATGTCCGTCATCTTCAAAATTATAGAAGGAAAACCTCTCTACACACTCTGGAATGTCGGGGCAGTTTCAACTGGGATCCATTATTTGACTCGACTTCGGATGTTACAGACATCTGCTAACATTTTACAATAGAAAAATGAATGAGAATAAATGGAATTAAAAATCTTGTACCAAAAGTAACTACTGGTTAAAGTAAAGAACCTTTGATGCAAAAATGCCTCAGTAGTAAATTTATAGATATTGCAGGTAAAGGAAAAAATATTAGCATAATTCACCTTGCTAAAGAGTTCAATTGGTGGGTTATGCTGAATTCTCTTTTCAGTATGGAAATTAAATTCCTGTATGAATTGAAGCAAGATGCGAAATCGATTAGTTCTTTATACATATAGCGTGGTTAGTAAAGGGCGAAAAAGCAAGCAAACCAACTCACCATTGGCACAGTGGTTTCCTGCTTTCTGTTCCGGAAAACACCAATATCACCTTTACTTGAAAGAATCTGCACTGACACTTGGTATTGAAGCAGATCAAACAAATAACAGGGGAAAGAAAGGTAGAACATACTTCATACAGATAATAGAATGAAAATAAACTATTTCTAATAGAAATTCATGTCAATTCCCCCACCTTTTCATTGAAATCTTTCACAGAACAAACTATTTCAATTACACCAAAATCAAAAGCAAAAGAAAGTTTTATAAACAAATTAGTTACCACACTTTGATTCACATTATTTATATTGACTTTGAGATTAAGCACACTGACTTTAGTTTCACGGGAAATTCTCTAGACGAACTGTTTTAAGAAATAATTTTATGTTAATCTTAAGATTGATTCTTTTAAATAAAATATCTTCTGAATTCACAAAAAATGAAAATAAAAAAGGTAGAACATACTTGATACAAATAACAGAATGAAAATGAACTATTCTAATAGAAAATAAGTGTGAAAACTTGTATACAAAGCAGCAATTTAAGATTCAATGTCGACCAGACCACCCACTAGGTTATGATATCGTAATGCCCGGCATAACTTGTTTGGATTTTCCTACTCCTTAAAAGGAGAAGTTATAGAATTTTAAGATATGGAACTTACAAAAAATATTCTCATTTTAAAGAGAAGTTTCATAACGGAACTACTAAAGAAACTGGTTTTGGGATCTTTGGATTTTGACTTCTTCCTTTTTTTTATTTCCACTTGAAATTATCTTTTAAGCTTAATTAGTTACAGAAATATCAAAAAGCTTTAACTTACATTTAGAGTTATTATTTTAATGTTAAACTTAAAGTAGATTAAGTCCTAAAAAGATCGAGCCAGACACTACATCAACATTTTAAGATCCAGATACAGATGGCAAGTATATTACATAATATAATAATTGTAACAAATTTCTTATTTTCACAGTAACTGTTTTTCTACATGAAATTGAAGTTAATTCATCTTCAATATCAATTACACTGAAGATCAAGGGCCTATTTGTTTTACACCAAGAATTAGTTTGACCGGTAATATATCTTGAGACTGAAACTGTTTTTGAATTAATGATATATACGCATGTTTTATGATAAGAAACCAATATTTGTTATGCTATATTATATATATATATTCATTAAAGTGATACAAATTGTATAAATTATTTTAATTGAAGATGCATGCTTGGTTAAAAGCAAATAGGCAGAACCGAACAGCTTGTTCATCTATCTATTGTACAAACAATGGCATCAATGACCAACAAGCAATTAAAGCAAAACTCTTGCCCGTGCACACACAAGCATTCATCAATCATCCGTACATCCAGGTTTCGAAATTGAGGAATCAAGCTCTTTAGCTTTTTCATCATCGAAGCCAAGGTTGGACAGAATCTTGTGACCAGGAGAATCCACTTCGGACCAAATGCCAAGAAGTATGTGCGCTGTGGTAAGTTCCCCGCCGTCAACTGCAAGTCAGTAAAAGGATTAATTTATTTGGCTTGAGCATAGAACATTTGATAGGAATCATCCTTTTCAAAACAACAAGTAATGATGATGCACAAAGTGAACGAGTAAATTACGAGGAACTTATAGAATAATGTATAATTTATCAGTGGCCTAATTTGAGAACATGTTTGTCCCACAATACAAAACCAATTGCGACATTCCTACCAATAAATCTTCATCAAATAATAATTAAACAAGAGAATATTACAAAGTGTCAACAAGAAAACATTCTCTGAAACAAAAATGATCTCTTCATAGCACGAAACATAATGCCAAAAAACTGTCTTCGAAAATGACAAATGGCTCTTCTGTTAGGACATAGAACCAACATGCCATCGACTTTTCAATAAAAACATTTCAAAAGTCTATCGGAAAACTCTATAAATAAATCCTTCCATTTATTTGCAATACCTTTTCTTAATTGCCTCAGAGCTTTATCCTGGAATTCTAGTTTAATTTTTCTTATATCAACATGATTTCCCAAAAAAGAATTCAGTTTTATTATCGTTAAGATATGAACAAAAGTCATTAACTAACTAACCATCATCAACCTAAATGAAGGTTTGACAATTACTTTTCCTAGAAGAAAAGCTTCAGATCAAAAAGATAAGACGTGATTAGCACACCAAATAACACAAAATCATGTAAACCAAATGTTATGCAACCAGAAATAAGCAACTAAATATGAAAATTCCATACATGTTATTTTATCTGTTTGGAAATTTTCATATAGAATTCATTACAAAATAATGTATTTTTTGTCATAAGCTCAAATGAAACGTTTTAGTGCCTAAAAAGTACAAACATTTTGTTCCATCATTCCATGTATAGTAACTAAATGTGGCCCATTGCCTGGTTAAAGATGAACCCCACATGACACATCATTCTATAAAGAAATTTTGTCAAACTTTATGTGTTTTCATGTTATTTAAAAAATTTTAGAGGGAGAGACGAGAGACTAAAGAAAACAATCAGGGTGAATTTACACAACTAGCAAAAGCATTAATGCATGAAGTACTATAAGCATTGCAATCAGTTCCCCACTCTCCTCTGCAATTGGTGATAAACAATAGTAAATGAGAAAAACGACAATAACCAACCAGATTTTATTTTTTTATCAACAGCCCAATCAAGGGCTCTCTGAGCTTCATCAGTCAGTGGAGGATGCTCAGGGCTGAAGAAAAACAAATCAGCTTTTCCAAGTAACTTCACAGTTTCATCTCGAACCTTGAGAAGTGTAATTCCATTGGCTCGCAAAAACTTAGCTGCTAGATTAGTACCTACAGCCCAAACATAGATTAGGAAAAATGCTTAAACTTGGATATTCAGATTTTTGAAGAAATGCACTACCAACACAAGGAACACATGTAATCAAATAATCAATTAAAGGCATTCCAATTTCCAAACATAATAAACGCATGAGATTTCAACTTGAAAACAACTAATAAATGTATAAGTAAAGTTGCATGAAAATGTCCATTTATCCCAGTCGAAAAACGAAGCCTTTCTTGCCTTGAATTATTTTGAACTAGAGGGAATTAACTCCATATATGAGTTCTAGTGAAACTTCCAGAGTGGGTTGACAGTTTGAAGGGCCATGCGAGTTCTAGTTGTAGTCTAAGGAGAGGTAACCTACTCCTCCTTAGGATGGTCTTATTACATTTCTTTTGTTGATGCATATAACAAACATACATGAACGCATTTTATCAAAAATAATCTGAATCATTATCCATCTTCAAACACTTTAAGGATCTACTAAACTTTAATTAAATACAGCCTTTAGACCGATTCCATGGTCAGTTTGGGCCCTTCACACAATATCTCACTAATCTTGGAATGGAACATATGCCTCACATCACCAAAATGAAGTTGTTGAAAAAAGAAGTTGGTCTATAGCTGATATCAATATTGCAAGAGTTACCTGGAAAACTCATGATCCCATGAATTTCACACAGGTCAATGAGCCAACTTGGACCTGCAATCGCAAGGGACCATATTGCTATTTTCCTCTTGAACTGCATGGATTGCCAATCTTTTACAACTCTTGTGTGCTTTTTTTCAGGTCGTTTTTTTACCCAGTTCTTAAAAGCACCAAAACAAAGTCATTTTGGCCTTTCCAAGTCAAGTTTTCATTGACTCAGTTTTGGAAACACTAAAACCCAAGCTGTTTGGGGTTTCCCTTTCACAAACTGAACTCAATAGTCCCCTTTGAAGATGCAATGTACAATTGGACACTCATCCTCTTGTCTTATCATCATCATCATCGTCATTGTTGTCAGTGCTGTGCTTTACTATTCACCTCTGTTTTGTTGTGAGACATTTCTCACTTGGCTGAGTGGTCGAGTGTTGGGTTTTTAACGGTTTCCTGCTTGATTGGGAGTTACATGGGTGTTGGGCTTTTGCTTGGGTATTTGACTGTGGGTGTGTGTTGTGTTCTTAACTGGCTGAGAGGTGCTTGGGTGTTGGTGCTTGTTGGGGATGCTCTTTGGTTGTTCTCTGCTCTCTGTTGCTCTCAACTTGAAATTAATTTTAAAGGACTGAATTTCTTGAAGATGCTACTGTTTCTCTAGATAAACTAAATTTATAAGTCATTATTTTCACACTGGTCATCAAACTCATGATTTAACTCGTAAAATTGCATGAGTTTAAGTTCCCACAACAACTTGCCAAGTTGACTCGCAAGCAAACTCGTTTTCCGATGAGCTTGGTGGGAGTAGGAGTAGACCCATCTGAACTCGGATCAACTTAAGAGTTCAGCACAAGTCAGCTAAGGACCATCTATAAACATCCTCTTTTAAAATCGTGACGAATCAAAGTTTCAAAGCAGACAGCATGTCAAATGGGGTGATGGATCAAAATGACGTTATCATAGTAGACTTGAAGTCAAGACACTCTTATTTCTACACAAGACATTAGCACCTACCGTGAGACCAAAAATAGAGTTTCAATCCTCTCCTATCCCTTAATCCTCAACCGAGGGCTATGTTTTGGTATACATTCATAAGTCTCACATTACTTAGAAATCGAGACTAAAGATAATGTTGAAAGTCCCACATCGCCTACCTCATGTCATTTGGTATGGTTTAAATATATATTAGGCTATTCCACATATTGCCAATTGGTTTTATGTTGGAACCTTAACATGGTATCAGAGCCAAAGCCTAATATCTTTCCGATTATTGTCATGGGCCAAAAAGTTGCCCTTTAGTTGGGTCAAAAGTACTATTTGCTTGGTCCGGCTGGCTTCGTTGGAGGGGATGTGTTGAAAGTCCCACATCGCCTACCTCATGTCATTTGGTATGGTTTAAATATATGTTAGGCTATTCCACATATTGCCAATTGGTTTTATGTTGGAACCTTAACATGTTGAAAGTCCCACATCGCCTACCTCATGTCATTTGGTATGGTTTAAATATATGTTGGCTATTCCACATATTGCCAATTGGTTTTATGTAACATCTTTCTGGTTATTGTCATGGGCCAAAAGTTGCCCTTTAGTTAGGTCAAAAGTACCCTTTGCCTGGTGCGGCAGGCTTCGTTAGAGGGGGTGTGTTGAAAGTCCCACATCGCCTACCTCATGTCATTTGGTATGGTTTAAATACATGTTAGGTTATTCCACATATTGCCAATTGGTTTTATGTTGGAACCTTAACATGGTATCAGAGCCAAAGTCTAACATCTTTCCGGTTATTGTCATGGGCCAAAAAATTGTCCTTTAGTTGGGTCAAATCCCTTTGCATGGTCCGGCAGGCTTCGTCGGAGGGGGTGTGTTGAAAGTCCCACATCGCCTACCTCATGTCATTTGGTATGATTTAAATATATGTTAGGCTACTCCACATATTGCCAATTGGTTTTATGTTGGAACCTTAACATGGTATCAGAGTCAAAGCCTAACATCTTTCCGGTTATTGCCTGGTCCGGCAGGCTTCGTTGGAGGGGGTGTGTTGAAAGTCCCACATCGCCTACCTCATGTCATTTGGTATGATTTAAATAAATGTTAGGCTACTCCACATATTGTCAATTGGTTTTATGTTGGAACCTTAACAGATAATATATAAACACCCTCTTTCCTAAATATACTGAGATACCTCTTAAGGACAAAATTATGATAAACTACAATTCCAAAGCGGACAATATTTCAGATATAATATGATGTGAACATGACCTATGATAAGGGTTAGAGCAAGGGAAGCAAATGAAGCTCTTCAACAAGTATTGTTGGTTGACCAAATTGTGTTTTGGATTAATCAATTAATGGGCTTTAGTTTAGTTTTATTGCAAGTTGTAATAAGGGTCCAATTGAAAATTTAGTTATCAGTCTTTAGGAGACCAAGAGGGTGCATAGCTGATTGACTTTTGGATGTCACAATTTCAATTACAATCAATCATTAAGTAGTTTTCAATTCCTAGGTTAATAAATCATTATTATCATTTATTTTCCTTTAATGAATATTTGACACTCTAATGGAAAAGCTTCTTTATAAGCCGAACCGTTTTTATCATAAATAACAAGTTGAGTTTTATTTTTAGAAATATTAGAGTTTATCTCTTTTATCTTAGTGAGAGTGATTCTCCTAAATTCTTGAGTGATTCAAGAACCCTTAACTGTATCAAAGGACTTTCACCTCCTTTGTGTGTTGTCTCCCTTGGAAAGAGTAATTATTTCCTTCCACCTTCTTTCTAATTCCTAAATTTCTTACAAGGTTCTAACCCTAAAGATCCTAAATTAGCCCTTGTGTAATTGAGATTCATATCATAATAGATTTAAGGCCAAGACACTCTTATTTCTAGACGAACATATACATTAATCCTAGATTTTTAAACACCTTGTATACCTATACCCATACTCATACTTGGATTTATAAAACTTAAATTGGTTATTGACTTGGTCATAGCACTAAGTTGGTGGATCATTGATGGAACTAGTGAGACAATAATTAAACTACATGAACCAATAACTATTAATTTTATAAAATGTTATACTAAAGATAATATCCATTCCAGTAATTTACTATGACAAACAAAGCATAGTACTTCCCAAACCTAATAGATAATCATTTCTTCAATCTCACATAAATCATACGTAGTTAGATATCTTCTAAGTACGTAAAAAGTTCTCAATAAATCTCTCATTTTTACTCACATTCCAGCTTAAGAACAGACAACAGATGTCCTAATGAGGGCTCTCTCCAGACTCTCATTTTCATCTCCTAGAGACAAATTCAAATTGTTCAACAACTCTCAGTTGAATTCACATTGTGTTCATGGGGAAATGATAGTGTAACAGCAGTAGTCTCGTGAAATATTCTAGAACTCTACAGTTAACATTCTCTTAAACCGTTGGCATGCCTACGAGTGTTTAGTAGCTTCTTTTAGAAGCCTCTTTATTCTATATACACCAATATACTCATTCGTTATCCAACATAATATTACAACTTCAAAAATCTATTTCTTTTCCTCTCTCTTTTTTTCTCTCAATACAAACAAGAAAATTAGTCCATGAAACCATAGAGTTTTGCATAAAAACTTAACAGGATACCTATATCGATTATATCAAGGACTATCCCCACTCCCCATTGTTGTGAGAAAGTTCTCATCAAAAGTGTGTAACATGTTCCTCCATTTATGTTGTGCATACAAACTAATTGACAATTCAGTTTTAAAATATCACTTCCCGATACACAAACAAATTTTCTTAACCTCAATTCATCCAAAATAAATCCTTCTAAAATCAATTGAACAAAAAGGCAAGACTAATACAAAGCTACGAAAAAATTGCAATCTAGCAAATGAGTTAGTTACCCTCGATGAGAACCCCCATGAGCAGGGCTTCAGTGCCGGTAGTCGGATACTTAAGTTTTCTCGCCTCCAATTCAGCCATTGCAAACGATTTTATAGCCTTGGAAGACCATCTTGCTTTCATCAAACAAAATTAGCAAGGAACCAACGCCAACTGAACGAGAAAATGAAGTAGAGTGAAACACATTCAAGCGATACTACTCACTTGGGAATTTCTTGACCAGGAGAAGCACGCTCTGGCTTTCTGCAAACAGAAAATCACAATTTAAACTTAAAACCCAAAATGAGGCAAACTAGTTCCGAATTTGGAACTGAAAAAGTCCTACGCTGTGGGGAGGCTGAAGGAGACGGTGGCGGCGAGGGGGCGTCGCCGGGAAACAGACACGTGAGTTCTGAGATTGAGACTGCATGGGGAAACCCTAAGTTTAGTTCCAAGCCATGAACTCTGAGGATTCTTTGGCGTCAAAGTCTGACACAAACGAGCGCCAGTGTCGCACCGGAATATCAGACTCGCGGGGCAATGGTAGTGCGCGCAAGCCATTTCACAACAAATTAATGCCACAGTTTGGGACGGGATAAAGCTGCTTGTATAAGCAGAAGAAACATACGCCGTCGTATTGTTGATAGATCTCACCTTTTGGGCTGCGTGAAAAGTAACAGTTGGGTTTTGGGCCTCTAGAACATTACACTTGAGCTGGATAGCCCAGACCCCAAGTGTCAAATAAACATGCTAGTTCATCCTACATTCTTACGTATATTTTCACCCCTCTTTAATTTTAAAAAATAAATCCAAAATTGTTCTTGCAGCATGCATCCTGACTTTTGTACATTTATCATCTCTGAAATTTAGTCTGAAATGTATTTTCCATATTCTAAAATATCCATTCTATAATATTTACACAAACTATATTATATTTAAAAATATAAATGATATATATGTTGTAAAAGCTGATAGAAACACGAACAAACTTTATTCTTGAGGCGTGTATAATCACTGCCCTTAAGGACTTATCCGCGATGTATTGCGCAAGTCCCCCAGGATACAACAGGAATTTCTCGAAATATCTGAGGATCTCATAAACTAGCAAGAAACTCTCAAAAGAGTAATTTAACTCAGGAACACAGAAAGAAGATCAGAGAAGAGAAGATGAGAGAGGTGTGTTCTGAAAAGTGTGAAGTGGTCTCTATTTATAAGAGAAAGTATGTAACAGTTATGGAAGACTTGGTAATGGGTTTGTAACGTTCTCTGAAACAGTCTTCTGCAACGTGTGAGAACACGTTCTCTGAAACAGTCTTCTGCAAACATGTGAGAACATGTGCTCTGAAACAGTCTTCTGCAACGTGTGAGAACACGTGCTCTGAAACGGTTTTCTGCAACGTATGAGAACACGTTCTCTATTTTGCAATACCCCTTAATTTACAACAATCCCCACATATTGCAAAACAAAAGGGATAAAAGAAATAAAAGAAGAAAATCCTGGGTCTCATATAAGATGTAATGCATCAGAGCTGGTATAGCAAGTTATATGAATCAGTCTTAGACTAAAAAACTTAACACACAGTGTAGTTGGTGTAGCAAGCTATATGAACCAAAACACTCAATGTGTGTTAGCGGTTTTAATAATCACAATACACCCCCACAATTCTTACTGTTATCGCTGTGTTGCGCTTACTAGGCCATGCGCGTGCCCGGTATTCATGAGTGCTCTAGAAATCTTGCAAAGATCTCATACAAGCGGCCCCACTCGACACTCATATAGGTGACTTCATCAAGCGTATGCTGAATCATACACCACCCTTAAGGGATATGAAATCGTTTAAAAACTTTGTTTAGACTAAAATTCATACTCCACATAGAATTTTAATTACAAAGTTTAACCTCTCAATAATGCAGTATCTAGCACTTTTACATATACATCATAGGAATGGACATAATTGATTTTAATCAATTTTAGTGATAGCAGAACTAACAAGTGACTTGTTTTTACCCATATGAACCTTATTCATGGGATCTCCAATCACAAAGGTTGGGTTACCATCACCTGTTTGTTTGCAAGTTGCTTAAGTCTCATTCCCCTCGATGTTTCTAAAATCATATTTCTCGCTAAGGGTTTTGTCAGAGGATCTACTAGATTCCGTTCTGACTTCACATAGTCAATGAAAATTGTTTCATTCTTTAGTAGTTGTTTCACTAAATTATGTCTCAACTGTATATGTCTATTTTTTCCATTGTAGTTCTTATTTTTTGCTATAGCTATTGCCGATTGACAATCACAGTGTATTGATACAGACGGGATTGGTTTCTTTCCTAATGGAATGTTTACTAAGAAGTTTTTCAACCACTCAGCTTCACTACCAGCCATTTCGAGAGCAACAAACTCAGATTTCATTGTTGATCTTACAATAATTGTTTGTCTTGCTGATTTTCATGTAATCGCATCACCCCCGAGTGTGAATACATAGCCACTAGTGAATTTTGTCTCATCTGAATCAGAAATCCAGTTAGCATCATTGTATCATTCTAGTACAACGGAAAATCCACTATATTCAATGGCATAATCCATTGAACCTCTTAAGTATCTCATAAGTCTTGTAAGTGCATTCCAATGTTCTTGATTAGGACATTGAGTGTACCTACTCAGTCTACCTATTGCATAAGCAATGTCAGGTCTCGAAAAGCTCATTAAATGCAGTAAGCTCCCAATTACCTGGGCATACTGAGGTTGAGAGATTGAGTCTCCTCTATTTTTCTTTAACTTAGAGTTAGCATCATAAGGGGTATTCACTGGTTTGGCGTTATAACACCCAAATTTCCTAAGAAGTTTCTCAATATATTGTTCTTGGGATAGAAAAATACTATCGCCATTCTTATGATTTTAACACCCAAAATCACATTGGCTTCACCCATATCTTTCATTTAAATTTAGATCCCAGAAACAACTTAGTTTTGGAGACAATGTCAATGCATGTACCAAATATTAGCATATCATCTACATATAAACATATAATGACACATTCACCACTCTCAAATTTAGAGTACACACATTTATCAGCATCATTAGTTGAAAATTCATTACAAAGTAGAACACTATCAAGTTTTTCATGTCATTGTTTTGGTGTTTGTTTTAATCCATATAAGAATTTTAAAAGTCTGCACACTTTGTTCTCTTGACCTGGAACAACATACCCTTCAGGTTGAGTCATATAGATTTCCTCCTCTAATTCACCATTCAAAAAGGTTGTCTTAACATCCATTTGGTGTATAACTAGTTTATGGATAGCTGCTAGAGCTAACAAAACTCGAATAGAGGAAATTCTAGTCACAGGGGCAAAGGTGTCAAAATAATCAATGTTGGATTTTTGAGTAAAACCCTTTACTACTAATCTTGCCTTATATTTATCTATGAATTCATCAGAATGATACTTTTTCTTAAAGATCCACTTACAACCAATAGGTTTTGTTCCTTTAGGCAAATCTACCATATTTTTCTTAATTGAATCAATTTTAGTCTTAATGACCTTATTCCAATGTATTGCATCAGGAACCCTAGTAGCCTCTAAAAAACTCATTGGATCATTTTCAACTAGATAAATGTAGAAATCATCTCCAAAAGAGGTTTCCTTCCTCTGCCTTTTACTTCTCCTCAAATCCTCATATATTTTATCACTGTTAACCTTTATAGATTGTTTAGGTGACTCACTAACCTTTAGAGGAAAAATATGTTTAAAGAATTCAACATTTTTTGTCTCCACTATAGTATTATGCTCAATCATATCACTTTTGAAGACAAAAAACCTATAGGCAGCACCATGTTCTGCATAGCCTAAGAACATACAATCAGAAGTTGTAGAACCTATTTTTCTTTTCTTATGATTAGGTAACATTACCTTAGCTAAGCACCCTCACACTCTTAGATATTTAAGATTATGTTCATAACCTCTCCATAACTCATAGGAAGTTTTACCAGTTTTCTTAAAAAAACACACTGTAAGTATATCTTCTCTCAAGGGTGATTAGGTGCACTAAAGTTGTTTGATTAAGTATACTTTGGTTAATCATCTATAAATGTCACATATCATACGAATCAATAATATAAGCAGAAGAATAAAATTTATTAACAAACTCAGAGATGTTAAGTAAAAAAAAAAACCTTGATCACAATATCCCTTCCCTACAAACACATTATTATTATTATTATTATTATTGTTATTTTTTTTTTTGCATAACAATCTTATCAGGTTCGAATGACACTTTAACCCCAACTTTTCCCAACAGTGCTACAAGGATTATATTAGCTCTGATTAATGGCACATGTAACACATCATTAAAGGCCAGAGTCTTTTCAAATGTGAGCTTTAGAAGAACTCTTCCTTTTCCTAAGATAGGAGTTGTCCTGGAATCACCGAGATAAATATGTTTTTCTCCATCCTCACACTAGTGTAGGAGGTAAAAGCACTTCTGTTTGCACAGATGTGCCTGGTAGCACCAAAGTCTACCACCCATTTGCTCACATTTGTCACAAGGTTTATTTGAGAAACGACCGCAATAATTGTATCTTCTCCCTCGACTAAATTTGGCCTAAGAGGATTGTCGTTTCTCATTTTACGTCTACACTGAGGTGCATGATGACCTAGCTTTCCACAAAAATCAATTTTCTTTCTTTCTTGAACGTAAAGTGGGGTTAGATCCACTGATTTCATACAGTCTCAACCCTTTCTTATAAGTATGTACAAAATAATATTCTACTTATACATATAAGTATGGACAAAATAATATGTGGACAAAATAATATTGTACAAAATAATATATGTAGATCTAAGTCATACATTGTATACATGTAATTGCTAATTATTCACAAACAAAATCTCTCATAACATATAATAATTTTGCATAATTTCTCCCATAACATAAAATAATTATGCATAATGCATTTTTCATTTTCTCTGTTGTATTGGTGTAATAAATCCGAAAAAGGAACATGTGTTTGACACGTGTGCTCTATGGACAAGCTGCATGATGTATGCTGATAGCATTTGATATAAAATTTTACCTTTCTTTCATCATAATTATAACATGCAGTAATCAATTTCATATATAATTCACCGTTAACCCAATCACGTAATTTGCTTTTTCAATTAAAATCAATTACAGGGTCATTCACATTTCAATAAGAATTACAGTGTCATTCACATAGGGACTATGAAATTAATTTCAATTTAAAATTGATTGCAGCTTAAAACATAGATTATCATTTATTCCTTTATTCAATTTTGGGAAAAGCATAATTTAAAAATTATCATAAGAGAAAAATCATAAATCTAATAAGTATAGCTCTGATACCACATGTATTTTAATTTGTAGTTTTTATACGTTACTATTTCTATAAAACTACTCTTCACGTTTAGATTCTCTATTCTCACGTAATAGCATACATGAATCATAATCATATAATAACATACATGAATTGATTCTCACATAATAACACACATAAATCATAATTAGAAGACTAACCTTGATCCATGAACACTTCATAATTCCCT